AACAAACAACACTATTAATGAGGGGCTAGTGTGCTATGATCCCTACGGTTTAAGGGTTTATTTGCCTTATTTTTTATTCAAGGGCTCATACACAAAAATGGGGTAAGTTGAGGGGCTTAAAAATGGGTTTTGCCTATTTGTTGTTTATGTTACTTAAAAATATAAACTATTTTAATATGTAAATTAATAAATATTAGTTATCGTATTATTTATTAACTAATAATTAAAGTTTTTAATTATTTTTAATAATTAAACTAAATATAATCATATTTTGAACTAAGTCTTTGAATCTAGTGGTTTGTCCTCAAGTTTTTGTACTTTGATTGAGTTGATTGGGAGTTCAACTCCCACTAATCACTTGAAAAAATTCTCCTTCCCCCCATATTTCTCCATGTTCAAAAAAAAAAAAAGAAAATCAATATTTTAAAAGATAAAATCTAAAAAAATTGTGTAGTTCCTATCAATTTATTGTGTAGCCCTACCTATTCTCCAAGATCACTTGTTACCTTTTATAACTTTAATTTGTTGTGGATGATGATACACATGATTTCTAGCATTTCTAACCATTCATATCGACCATATCACAACAAGCATGGTTATGAGTATCAATAATAATATTATAACAATCAAAATTCTAAATATTGTTTTTAAAAATATTGAATTTGTTTAATAAATAAAAATAATTGATAATTATAATTATTAACTAATTATTTATTGAACAGTTAATATCTATTAATTAACATACTAATATTTTCAAACACCTTTTTAAAAAGATTAAAATTTTGGTAATCATTACAATATTAATTGTGACAGTAAACACACCCCAGTAATGCCCAACATCTATTATGTTACATCATTCCAAATCCCACAGTGTGGTTTAAACGCATCTTTACAACTTGAGGCGAAAGTAGGGCGAAGAGAAATTGGCTCACCTTTGATATATGATTGGATTAATTTGTGTTATGGGGACTTTTGATTTTTTGTTAATTTCATGTGTAAATTAATTTCATTAATAGATGATACATGTAATAAAAGCTTACTTTGATGAAGCCAAGTGGTGCCAAGAAGGCTACCTTCCACCCGTGGAGAAGTATATGCAGATAGCCCCCATATCTTGTGGCGTCTAGTATGGGGAATTTTACCAACCAGTGATGCTGTTGCTGATAGAGGAGTGGAGGTTGAAAAGAATTGTGGCATTTGTGGAACAAGTCTGGAGTCATGCTTTCATTCTTTATTCCAATGTAGATGGGGTATAGGGAGGTATGGAATGCAGCTTGTCTTACATTTCCAATTGACTTTGTGAGCGGTGACTTCTTGTTAGATGATTTCCTTGATTCCTTTTTAATTAGCCTTAAGTACAAAGGAAAAGGAAGTTGGCAACAATCCCCTGTTGGTCAATTTGGAATAATAGGAACAACTGTATTTTTAAGAATGCTAGAGTTCAAATTAAATAGCAGCTTCAGAAAGATTAAAATTCTGATGGAAGAATAACAGAATATTGGGTATGAAGGCAGCGAAGTTCAAGGCTCAAACACAATACCTTTAGTTCCTGTGGCTGAATATATGGGAAGCTCCAGTTGGTGATGTTGCGAAGGTTAACACTGATGCAGCCTTGCCCAGCGACCAAAATCCATTTTTGCAAAGGGCATCTTCATTCAGTCGGACTGCTTTGCAAGGAGAGCTTATGGCAGTCGACTTTGCCACGCAACTTGGTAAAGAGTTTGGATGCAGTAATATTATTCCTCTTGAATCAGATTGTTTACAGGTTATTGCAATTGCTTTCTTCATTTTGGTGCCCTATATAGTTGCTGACAATAAGGCAAAGCAATCTGAGTTTGTTTCATGTTTCTTTCATCATGTTAAGCGAGAATGTAAAAGGCTAGCTCATAGTTTAGCACAACTGATATCTCCTCCGCCATGGGAAGGAGTTTAGTTTGAAACACTCCCCAGTGCTTTATGCAAGAATGTCAGTCTCGGTAATGACTGGTACAGCTTGTACGTACCAGTTTTGACACAAATCCGATACATAAATACCCCAATACCGTATCATTTGCAATCTTGGCCGCATCGGCCGAAAATGATCATATCAGATTGTATGTAAAATTTCGCCCGATTCAAACATTCAGGCTATTTTCAAGTAAATTTTTTCATGAAAAGAAAAGGAGAAATCTTTTGGCTCATTGGGTATCTTCAATTTCGAAAAACTCTTGTTTGAGCTTCATTGCCTTACTTCTCTACCTCCAGATCCCTTACCTCAAGCCTAATGCTTAAGTCAAAACTGAACATTCTTTCACTTCTCCCAATCTAGTTTCGAACATTTTTGAAGGACTCAAACCTTTGATGGGATATGTTTTATGGGTGTAAAGAGATGTTGCAGAAAAGGATTTGAGGCGCCCAGACAGAATTTGAAGGAGGAAAGTGGAGGGTGATGGTGAAGACAATGACGTGGAGGAAGAATTTGATTTCTGTTTTCATTTTTGTACAAAAGATTCAAAATTTACAGGATAGGCTACACTTTTAAAGTGTCAACATATAAATAATTAAATTATTTTTAATTATTTTATTAAAAATATTTTAATAAATTTAAAAGTTAAATTATATTTTTAATATACAATTTGTCCTATAAAATGCCTTTTTATTGATATAAATTCATGAGATAATAAGGGGCTGTTTGTTTGGAAAAAATTTTCTCTTACTACTAGAAATAGAGATTTATTTGTTAAGTATCTTGATCGAATAAATAGGAATTTTGAATGAATAAGAAGTAATTCGGTTAAATTATTTGATCAAATTGTTAATCTGAATATTTATTATATGAAACAATAATTTGAACAAAATTTCATTTTGATCGAAAATGTTGGATAATTTTGGTAAAAAAGTTGATTGAAAATGTTATTAGGAAATTTTTGATTTTAGAATAATTCGGTAAAAATAATTAACCAAAAATGTTATTAGGAAATCTTTTATTTTAGACTAATTCGGTTAAAATATTTGACCAAAA